TAACACTGACTCAAACATCACACGACGTCTGAATGCCGTCAGGGCAGCATTCAAAATAGTCAGAAAATCAATCATCGAAGACAGTTTACTACCAATATCCGATTAGCTGGAGGTGATCAATATTTCCGTAGACTCAGTCTGCATGTCGTGAGTGCGTGCGTGTGTGTCCTAGCTGACAGTATCAGTCACTCAATCGATCCATCAATGAATCCGGCCACAGGCAAGCGCGCGAAACGTATCAGTTCCTTGTAAGCTACAACAACGGATGGTCTGCCGTCATTGTGACTTGATGTACAATGGGATGGTCAAAACAGATACCAACGCAAGTGNAAGTGACCTTGGAGAGAACGAGAGAAAACAAACCAATAATCGCCGTACGAGAATCATCAGAATTGTTGAGAACACCGGGGACGATGTTTCTTTCTTCTTTGATTGGATGTAGGAAGAGAAAGTGAAATCACATAACAGATCACCGTTTACGCAATGCGGTATGGCTATCGGGAACCAGAGTGAAGCCTACAACGCCTGAGAGATTCAGACAGCATCCTTGACTTCACACAAAAGCATCATATACCAGCGCAAAGTTTCGTCGATCCCATTTGTCATAATAAAGAGGATTATTTTTTCAGTCCTAACCCTAGAGAGCGATTTGGAGTCAGAATAATCTGAAATATTAGTGCTTGATTGGTTTGAAAAATGGTTTCACCATAACCGTTCAAGGTCTATTGCTGTGAGGCTAGTCCGTGCTTGGAGAATTGATCATGTATTGTGTAGAGGTGCTCTTCAGATGAAACAGACCAAAAAATCCCTTTTATGCCTAGTCATCAGAAAACAACAAACAATTCATCTCAGCTTACATCCAAAACTATACCCTTTGATATTTATAGAACCTACAGACGGATCGATTGACTCGGACATTGTTCTCAAAACGCACCTCTATTTATTTTTATTTCGCTCACCAATATAGCTGATATTTTTCCCCATGTCCGACATTGTATGTAGCTTTTTTTATCTCACCTTTGCAGCTGATGCCTTTAGTTATTTACAATAAATTTGAACTGCTGAATATTGTGAACTCTGATTCGCTTAGACCCACTTTTCCCCTCCTCAAAGCTGAGCCCCCTATTTGCTCAGGACGAACGTTTGGTGGTTTTGATCCCTGGACCTCATCTATTTAATTAACCTAGTAGGTGATTTGCAATCTCATTAAGCCTTGAATTGGAAACACAGTCCGGAATATTATCTTGATGTAGGCAACAATAAACGTTAGCGAAAATCATGGGTGTTTTCCTCGGATTTATCCTCGCAGAACTGCTTAACTAGCGATAAAACGAATGTTTTTATGACTATCATCTATGTATATATAGATATATATATATAAATATATATATATATATTTAATACGGAGAATGGTAGTAAATTTCTATGATGCAT